TGTTCCAGAGTCTCTGAAGGCAGACAGTGGGTTGGGCTTGCTACCATTCTGGTTTCCCCCTGGAGGCAGAGCTTGATGTAGTTAGGAATGAGCCTGCCCTGTCTAAAGCCAGTTTCCTGCTTGTGGGGCTGTCACATTTATCTACACACTCCTCAGCTGGGATTTCAGTTACTTGGAGGATGGTCTGGGAAGCTAGAATGAGAAACAGAATGGAAGACTAGGGTCTTTGTCCTCCAGGAACCCTTACTCACATATGTGATTCCCTGGGGTATCCCCCAAGGCCACAGGAACAATGTTTCTCTCATCATTTATTTCTCTTTGTGAGATTTTTTTCAGTAACTCCTCTCACCCAGCAGCTGATAACAACCCACCCCTCCTTTCCCTCATCTTTTTTTCTCTTCCACCCTTTGCTTCTTTTGAGACAGGGTCTCACCATGCAGATCAGGCCAGCCTCTAACTCACAGAGATCCTCCTGTCTCTGCCTCCTGAGTGCTGGGAGCAAAGGTGTGCTACCAAGCTCAGGTTGACCTATATTACAGACAATACAGGCCAGCCTTTGAGTTGGGGTGGCAGGGTTTAAGGGAAAGGCAGACAGAATAGGGGTAAGGTCTGTGGGGGAAAGTCTTCCAAGAGCCTTACCTACAAGAGCCATGGGGAACCGGGTCCATAGAAGAGGAAGCCTACTGAAGAATTTAATGGAGGGATGCTTAGTGTTCTGAGGGGTGGGGAGGGGAGAGGAGAAGGTATGGGGAGGGGAGAGGAGTTGGGAGAATGGGCAGTCCAGTGGGGGAGCTTCCAAAGCTATTAAATAGATATTAACGATGAACACAGTACAGTCAGGCAATGGGCTGGTTAGACAATATGTGTGGTGTGTGAGTTAACTTCCAGCTTCCTGGAGGACCTGGAGGGAGCCAGGGCCCCTGACAGTAGCTATAAATAATTGGGTGGGGAGTGGAAAGAGACAGACAGTGGGTAGAATTCAGGAGGTGGGAACTAATTAAGGCAGGTGGAACCTAGGAAGGAGTCCCATGTGTGGGAAGAAGACTAGGAAATTGGTGTCATGCGGCCCTATGAAAGGGACATTGCCAGGAATGGCTTGCTAATGGTGTCCGGCAGAGGCAGACAGGGATCGTTCATGGCATTTGGTGACCTTGCAGAGGTATGTGTGGGGTGGGGGCTTCAGGGAGCTGCAGGGAGGTGCAGAAGCAAAGAAGCACTCTTGGAATAATGGCACAGAAAGGCAGACATCTGGCTCCGGGCCCTTAGGAGGAACTGAGCTACCTTCGTTTGCAAGACTGGGCAATGACTTCCAAAGTTGTGGTTTATTTATTTCTCTGAATGATTGCTTATAATATCAGGGACGGGTTATAAGTTGATTTCCATAAAAGTGAATGACAGGGAAAAATATTGCTTGGGGCACTTGTGAAAAATACACGCATTTAGCTGGGTGTGTTGGCACAGGTGGGTTGGGAGGTGGACGCAGGATTCTCCGGGAACTTAAGGTCATCCTTGGATACGTATTGAGTTCCAGACCCTGACCAGACTTCTTGACTCTGTCTTAAACAAAACAGGACATCTAAACCCAAACCAACCAAACAAGCAAGTCTCCATCCCTTTTATTTTTTTATTTTAAAAAAAATTTTCCCCCTCCATCCCTTTTAAACAGAGGCGGGGAAAAGCAGGTCTCTTAGGCA